AGGCAATGTGAATTGCGGAGATCGGACACGTCGACTCTCCGAATTGCGAAGCTGGTGCGCGCAGGAGTGCGAATTGTGCAGAAGGCCACCCTAAGGCTCGGGAAGGTCCTATAGGAATCCATTTTGGGTTTCCTCATGTCGGTTTCATCCTTCTAAGTGTTAGAAGTCGATACCGCACACGCGAAACTCCAAAAGAGGACGGAAATAGGTCGAACTAAAACGAGGCGGGCACCACTTCTAAGGTTCTAAGATAGTCGCAGGAAGACCCCTAAGGCTAGATCCTAACTCCTACGAGAAATACTAGACCTCACGAAAATTGAGGTCAACAATGCTGCTCATTTATTGATGCTCAAACTTTTTATTTATATATTTCTGTTTGTTTATTTTTCTATTGTGTGGCTAGTTTCACCCGTTTTGATTGTGATTTGTTTAGGTTAACATTGTGCTTAGTTTTCTTGAGGATAGAATAAAATTTAGGATTAAAATTGTATTATTTTAAAATAAGTTTTTTTTTTAATTTTTTTATCTTTACTTTCCTACATTGCCCTCTGGGCCAGTTTAAAATGATTTTTCATGCATGGTTATATACCCAAACTAATTGGGCTTCCACAATTAGGGACCAAATAACATTGCATTCGTGTTGTAGGTCCCAAGGGAAAGTAAATTTGCTTCCTCAACTTGATTGGCCAATCATATATTTATTTGCTTATGATATTGTATAGTACAGTTTAAGGTGTTAAGAGGCTCTCTCGAACTAGATGGGAGTCTATGTCCTTTGTTAGGTGATACAACTCTGTAGCTGAGTCGTTTGTTCCTTTTACACTCTGTAGGCGTCTTTGTTATACTCTTGACAGGTGTAAGTCCTATTTCTTTCTTTCTGTTCGAGTTGAATCATAGGAGTTTATACATCTATTTCTTGTGACTTTAAGTCTACTGAATTACTTTCGACAACATAATACATGGGTTACTGACGAGTAATTCATTGTCATGTTGGGCTGACTACTCTCACAACTTAGTAGATTTAGAGTCGTAATGGCATGAGATGACAAATCCATAGAGTCCTAACTAGACCATCTCTATTCATCTAGGATTTTCCTCCCTTATTGACACCCATATTGGGTCCTTCGTATTCCTTTGTCGAGTCTTTATAGTTGTTACATAGGCCCTTTTTGTGGAGAGATGGGTTGTCGTCGGGTTACAATGATTCACCACTTGCTCGATGGTATAGTTGAGCCTTGACATTAGGATGTTTCTCCTCTTGGAATTGTTGAAAATTGCCTTGGCGTCCTATTTTTCATAGGTTTATATAAAACAAACATAATATCTTTTTATCGAGAGTCTTCTTAAGCATTCTCTAAATATAATTAATCACAAGAATACGTCGTCGTGGGAGGTCTTTTTAAACCCAGAATGAAATATGTTTGATTTACGAATGCCTTCTATAATGCTTTTCCCGTATATTTACGAGGGTTGAGTAAGATTTGACTTGTTTTGGACCATTTTTCGTTAGTTCATGTTATGAGGACCGTCTTATAGGATATCTTTGTATTTTTCCCTCTTTATTTTCTTCTTCATATTTGCCCAATTTTGTTTCTTACATTTCCTCACTCTATTTCTTTTTGAGCAAAGACTGTTTGGGAAGGGAGATTTGAAAGATGCAAATACAAAAACAATTGCCAAAAATAAAAAGGGGCGCAAAGTTGCGGACATTATGTTCACAAACAAACCATTTGTTGTTTAACAAGTAACTTGTTAAGTGCTCTATAATATATTTTTTAATAGCTCATATTATATATGCTATATTATTTGGACAAAGTTTGATTAACTAGGTATTATTAATATATAATATTATAATTTAATATCGATATGCTTATTAATTCAGTGCAATTCATTTTTATTTTTATTTATTTCAATAATCTATTTATATTATTTGATTGCAAAAAACCTTAATTTAAACTCATATATTATTATATTTAATAGGTGTAAACTAGTTAGATACTAATATGCAATTTATTTAATTGTTTATTTTTTTAGATTTGTAAAATTATTTGTTTATAATTTTATGTGAAAAGTCAAGTACTCATTTAAATTTTTGGTTATTTATTAAATCCTTGAAGGATTTATTTATTTAATATAAATAAGCCAAGTACTAGATAAATATGATTATTAAATTAAAATAAGCCAAATATAAACAGACAAGTGAAAGCGTGGCTTGACCTCGAGCCGAACATGAAAAACCTTATACATGAGCAAACTGAGCTCAATTCTTGACAACCCTATCGTGTTCTTTGTAGCTATTATTTTCTTCAAGAATCAATCTTTTGTTCTCTGTCCATCTCACCACAGCACTTGCGCAATCTCTTATGTTCAAGACCTGTTCCTTTCATTTCTTTACTAAACCGTTGTTGATCTGTTGCCCCTTTTTTAATCTTGAAGTCTAGTTGATGTTGCTTACTTTTTGCAGTTACTGTCAATTATCCACTTCTCTGGACTCTCTTTCGACATACTACTTTTTTTATCCTACAATTCTCGTTTTCCACGGACTCACGACTCTCTTTTGAATAGCCCGACATACTACTTTTTTATCCTACAATTCTCGTTTTCCACGGACTCACCTTTTTACCAAGAATCACTAGATCTTGTTGATTATTCCAATCTCCAATTTCACCACCCTTTCATTCTTAGCTAATGCTATAAAGATTAGTCAGGGGGCCTTCAGCGCTGTTTATTTCTTCTCCGGAACAGTGGCCATCCGCCTAGCCTATCACTTCTTCATATATTGTTGTGCAAACCATAGCTCATCGTCCGAAGTTTGTCTAGCTGCCTCTAATGCTCCCTCTTAATCATTCCATCTGATCTCTCCATCTAAACTAAGTTTCTCATCTTTTGCTCTAGAGCTGGGGTTCTGATATTGAACTTGATGACCTAAATAAGGCCACAGAGAGGGAAGCACAACATAAATACAGACATGGTGCTCAATTCTATTTTTTAAATGGTGTAGAATAATTATTTGATTGAAGATTGTACATGACTCATAGTCTAGGTAGTAAATTAACATCTAGTTTTCCTATGATATCTAGTGATGATGATCGTGGTGGTGAAGTGCAAATGCATGCCTAAAAATCAATCTTTTTATTTATTTTAGCGAATAGCTGATTAAAACGTCTTTAATTCTGATGTAAAATAGGATAGGTAATTTTTACTTTTTCTATATCATAAACTAAACAATATTTATGATGTATTAACTTTTGAAAGGTAATTTAAAATTTCTTATTCTCTTATTTATTATTTTTATATTATGTTTATTTATATTTTATACATGTTTTATAATTTTAATTATAAGGCTTTGTCCGATGCTATTTCTATTTTATATTTTTAATAATAAAAGTGTCATGTGGCCATATCCGTGCATCATAGTATAATCCTTAACTTTAGCATAGTATAATCTACTTAAAGGGGGGTGTTTGGCTGCCTATAAGATTTAGGTTATATAAGATTTAGTAAATCCAATAAAACCGGATTTATTAAATCCAAATGCTGTTCTTGTCCATTCAATGTTAAATCCATTAAATTCGCTTATAATGTTTAGCATAAATACACTCTTGTGACTTTCTTTCTATATGATAAATCCGTTAAATCCATGTAATAATTGGATTTAATAAATCCGGATTTACGTTAAAAAACTAAGGGAAGGGAAGAAAAATTGAATTTAGCGAAGGATTTAAGTTGTCTGATTATTTGTGTTTGGCTGAATTTACATTAAATAGTACGTAAATCCTGCTCAAATCCAGCTACCAAACACCTCCGAAATTGGTAATTATTTTATTATTTCAATTTTGCACAAAATTCATTCTCGACATGATTTTCAACTATCGAAGAACGAAGTTCACCACTTCTTTTCTTAAGGCGCACTCCAAATCAGGGAACTCTAGCGAGTTTTTTGAACTTCGGAAATGCCAGAACTCATTCCAAGAATTGAGTTCTAGCCAAACGAGTATACCACTAACATTTAATTAAACTAACCCCTTGATGATTGACATGCAATGTGCCTATAATTTCTGGAAGAGGGGTGGTCTTACTTGATACGGAGAAACTCTCACATAAAGTAGAAATTGAGTTACATCATTACTGCAAAAATATGTTATTCAACTGAGCCATGAAATAAAGAATATTTATATCCCCTATAATCATTGTTTCTCATCCCTAGGGAACCTGACTTTGAGCGCTTACAATGAAGACTGTGAATTTGCTGACCCTGCTGGTTCATTTAGAGGTCTTGGCCGGTTCAAGAGGAATTGTTCAAATTTTGGATCATTACTTGAGAAATCCGATATGAAACTAATTAAATGGGAAGAATATGAGGTAATTTTATTCTATTTATATTTATCTTTTTTTAGATATAGTTTAGTAACTTCTAAACTGTAATTTTTTTGCAAGAAGAGTTACAGTTTGTCTAATTAATTGCTAATCAAAGCAAGTAATTGGCTGCCACAACATATTTCAGGATAAGGGAATTGGGCACTGGCGTTTTAGCTGCGTCATGTTATTTCCTTGGAGACCTATTCTTTCTGGTATGTTTTTCTAAGCAGCTACTTGGTTTTCTGAAGCCTCTCACCGTCTTCATATCTTTTAACGTTCGAAAGTCCTCTTAGTAGTATAAAATTGCTGCATTTACATACATACTTCCCTATTCTTATGTATTTACATATCTAACACCTACAATTTAATTTTTACATTTATAACATCCAAATCTTTCATATCAAAGTGTATTTGACCGTTGACAAAAATACTTCTATTTTAACTTTTAGAAGGTGAAATACACCTTTTGATGCATAAGGTGGCATATACGTAAAAGCTGAAGTTTTGGTGTTAGATATGTAAATGCATAAGAATTGAGTGTGCATTTAAATCTTCCTATAAAATTTCTTTGTTTTCAATAGAAGTTTAGGTGTTAGATATGTAAATGCATAAGAATTGAGTGTGCATTTAAATCTTCCCATAAAATTTCTTTGTTTTCCATTCAGCTACTGGATACACGGAATACTATTTTGATATCCATTCGGGAAAGGTCTGCAGGTATTGTGATGGTTGAGCTGTTAATACCCTTCTTTTTGCAAATATTTAAATGTTTGCTTTCTGATTTTTACCTTCTATGCTCTTAAAAGGCATGTGGAGCACTGGAATGTCCCAAAAATGGCTCTTCTGAAGCAAATTTTTAAACCGAGCCGTTGGATATGGGATAAAAGTTGAAAACTCAAACCATATAAAAGTGGAGATCACCATTTACAGAGTAAATATATAGAATTGCAGGTAAATTATTTAGTTGATTTATATTTGAACTGCATGGCTTTTAAGTATTCTACTTGTAGAAGCTTGTACACCATGACATCAATGTACTAGAAGTCAATAATTTATATCTAAAAGCTCACTTAAATTGAGCTCCGCTCCTGCATCTGTGTGCTGTTTTTTACTTTCTGTATTCTAGCTAGAAGGAATTAAGCGGTAAATGACCTTTGGTGTGGATTGATTATTTCAATTATGTTTTTTCTAGGTTCTAAAGACACAAAGACGGATAACTAGAATATTTGGAATCATTGACTGCAATGAACAAACTTATATTTTTGAGATTTTATTCAACAAAGACAATCTCTCTGCATCAAGTTTCTCATTGTTGAGTTTAGAATTTTGATGGGAGGTTTGGCTGGTTTGGAATTTCTTTCTTCCCTTTCAGTTGCTCTCTCCATCCCCTCATCACCACCAATGTTCAAACAGAAAAAGGGGAAGATTTTTATTCATACCACTAATTCTTATGTATTTGCATATCTAACTCCTAAACTTCAATTTTTACATATATATATGCCAACTTACCCATTCATGGAAAGGTGTATTTCACTTTTTTAAAAGTTAAAATAGTGGTACTTTTGGTGTGATATGAAAGATTTGGGTTGTATCAATGTAAAAGTATAGTTTAGGAGTTAGATATGTATATACATAGGAATTGTGTGGTATGTATGTAGATGTCCCCAAAAAAACATTTTATTGAAAATTCTACATCTTCATGTTAGGTTCTTTTGAGATCCATTATGTGTAGCATAAAAAGAACAAAACTAAACAAAGACATATTATTCCTTTGAAAAATAAGCTTATTGGTTTGAACTCAGATAATTGGACTGAGAAGATTTCCTTAGTATATGCATATCATTTTATCAGGCATGTATGAGTGTACGCGCTACTTTCAGTGGGCAGTAGTAACTCTGTTCTTAAGCGAGAACTGAATCTCCTTGTTTTATACCCGTTTCATGTGCTACAATTCTAGAGCATCCCTTGTACATTTGAATTTCTTAGTTTTCTTGCAAATGCGCATCTCTTGTGTACTTTTGAATTTCATATTTCTTTTTGCAAATCTCACTGATCTCAACATGATGGGAAAATCTAAATTGTAATGTCGTTTTTCGAGTCATTGCTGCAAGTAATGAACAAATATCTTAAATTTACGACGACCAAGAAGCGATTTGAGCTCACTTTTATTTTGTATTTTATTTTGTTTTTATTTTGATTTGAAATTAAACATGTTTGACATATTTTATTAAAATATGGTTATTTTTAAAAGCGCTCAAAATAATTTTTTTTAAAAACACGCAAAATACCTAAAATTTATATTTAGTGCTTTCGAAAACATGTTAATTTATTTTTAAAAATAAATTATAAAATATGTAAAAAATACACTAAACAAACATATTTTTAAAATATAAAAATAAAAACAAAAAATAAAATTGTTCCAAAACAACCCCTAAGTTAGGCTGCTTCCCTCATTGTTGAGCTTAAATGGCTCTGCAACCAATTCTGCTATGTCTGCAAGAGAACGGTCTTCCTTCATAATTCTGTAAATTTTTGGAAGAGATATACTGATTGCTGCATCACAAGAGTTAAATATTTACTTTAATGTGAAATCGAAAAAAGAAAAAATCTTTACAGAGGAAACCTATTCATACAATTTTCATGTAATTTAGCTGAGAATTAACGAAAGCTTTAAACTAGGAGTTGTGTTATTGTTTATGGACTGTCTATATTATTTTCCCTTGATTATTTTCATGTGCAATAAATTGTTTCGCAAAACTGCAAAAGTATATATACTGAGTTGGAAATGAAGTCAGAGATTGCCTTCCATATCGTTCTGGGATTCATCTAGAGTTGTTGATATGATCTTCAGAACTTTCTGTAGATTCAGTAAAATAGAGATTTTATTAGATTTAAACAAATAATATTTGAAATTATGAAAATTGTGTTAGTAACAGAGATGAAGGGACGGTTTCAATGTACCAGTATTCTCTCTCCAGGCTTCACCCTTAGTTCTTCGTTCAAGCTTCCAATTTTACTGCACAAGAATGATAGAAAATGAGAGGTAAGTCCTTCTGTTGATGCTAAGTTTGTTAGGCTTGAGATAGTCTTAAGCTTATATAGTTTCAGTCATGCTATGCCGAGGCTTGAAAGTTTTCTTTTTTATTTTTTGACATTAGTGCTTGCATTTTGACCATATGAAAGAAATACAAGTGGAAAAAGAAAAGATAAGGAAAATCATATGATATCACAAAATATCTAATTTTGACCTTTTTGTGGGACTAAGACTCTCTTTGGGAGCACTTTTTAGGTGCGGCGCGGGCATCCCAGTGTCTACCTGATTAAGAGCTGCTTCTCGTCCAGTAGAAACCAGTTGAAGCCAAGTGTGAAGGGTATTTCCTTGCCTTTCCATTCTGCAAAACATTTTACATAAAGAACATGCAAAATCATAAAATTGAGATGAACTGAGACAAAAAAATATATCAAATTAGAGATACAGAAGTGACTAGAGAATACTTAGAATCCATTGGGCAGCTGCTTCATCAGATCCTAGAAGGCAGAAGACCCGCGCCTCAAATTTTACATTTGGTCCCATTGCATCCATTAGCCTGGCCACAAATCTACTGACATCCTGATGAAAGTTGCTTTAATCTTTTCACTTGGTTATGAAAAATAGATTTTTATGGTTAATGGTTTGGTTGCTCTTTACTATTTTGAACTTTTTTTTATGTTAGTTTCCATTAATACTTGACAATATATATTCTTGAACTTCATATTTGTTAAGTTTAGAACTTTTGTCAGAGCTTATTCATTTTAAAATTAATGCAGTCTAATTAAATTTGTTTACTTAAAATCGCTTTTTTGTTGTGGAAGCGATCCTTAAATGGCTTAATGTCGAGTGAATGCGCTTTATATCGAATCAAACAATCAAATAATATCTTTCTCTAATAATCTATTTTCTTGAATCTATCTTGTAGCGAATCAAAAGGTTAGATGTCTAAATTATTCACCTTGTTTGAAATAAAATCAGAGTGCTTGAATTACTTGAGGGCAAAAAGTAAGTACCTAAATAACACCTGTAAAAGCTGAAGAGAAGAACCCATAAATTCCTTACTATATGTTTTTTTAGTTTATTTTTTTGCATGTTTTGATATTTTGTTTTCAAAAGTAAATTTGTTTGTTTTTTAAAACCCTCAAAATATCTAAAAGTTATTTCAAGTATTTTTTAAAACAACTGAACATATTTTAACATACCAAATTTATTTTATTTCAATTAAAAATATAAATAAAATAAAATAAAAAACAAAAAACAAAAGCGATCCCAACTAGCCCCTAGGAAAATGGCCATCCCAGAACCTCGTGAGACTCCAGAAGAGACTACCTTCTTCCCCATGAATGGAGAATCAAAGAGTGCATCTTCATAGCAACAATCATCTGAGAGCAATGCAGTTAGCTGTGACACATTCCTGTTATTGATAGAGTTAAAAAATTTCTCCACCACCTTCTCAGCTTCAGTTTTATTCCTCCAGGCTGACTCTTGCCCTCCATATTCATATCCATCTTGGAAATCCCTGCAATAAATTCTCCAAGATTTAGCTGCTACAAAACTGTAGCCATTACTTGTTTCTCTTCTTAGCTTTAATGAGCTCCTGGGTTTCAATCCTCTATTACTGGCAAATATACTGCTTCTTCCTGATCCTACTGGTGCTCCATCTCTGTGTTTTCTGATTGGTGTAATGGATACCTGAAGCCACTGTGCCTGGAAGCAGGAGGCCATGGAGGCAATCGAAGTGGAAAGGTAAAAGGATTTGAGATTTTGTCTTTTTTTACATTGTGTTTCTCTCTTTTAGAAGGTATGGATAGATTTTTATACTTTTTCTTGCTTGAAATTGGGTTAAGGCATCCTTAAAGCTGCCATTTGCTTGCAGGCAATTTATGCTAACTTCATTCTACAGGCAAATGACACTTTAGTTTGTTTTAGGGGCATCTACATACATACCACCTTACCCATGCATGAAAATATATTTCTCACTTTTAAAGAGTTAAAAAGATGATAATTTTAATTTGATATAAAACATTTGTATGGTATAAATATAAAAAATAAATTTAGTTGTAAGATATGTAAATACATAAGAATTGAGGTATGTATGTAAAAATTGAAGTATAGGTGTTAGATATGTGAATCTATAGGAATCGAGTGGTATGTATGTAAATCTTTTCCTTATTTTTGATGTGGATTCCTTCTGTCAAAGACCCATTAATCAAGCTTATTAGCAATTATAGTTTAGGTTTTTGTGGTGCAGCACTTGATATTTTGTTTAGATGTGTTCTTAGAAATAATATAATTAATTTAAAAAAAAATAAAAACATGCGAAAAAAAATGCATTAAATAAATTTATTTTAAAATAAACATAAAACAATAGTAAAAATTTAAAAATAAAAGTGATCCCAAACAAATCTTGGAAGTTTGAATTGGCTTGAAACTACTTAAAATGATAGGGATATAACTGCATTCACAACACTCAAAATATTAATATTTATAAAATTAGCATCTAGGTTATTTTTTTGAATTATTGAAATGATATATTTACTCGTGCCACGATTAAATCATTTAGAATTTGATAAAAATGAAAAATATTGGTTGAGGTTTAATCCTGAATTTTGATATTTGAGTGAGAATTTGAAAAATGAATGAAAATTGTGCTAAATTTATTAATAGTAATATTTAGGGTGTGATGTATGTAAATGCTCCAAAATGATAATGCTACTCAGAGTATTTTCTAATTTTTTTTTGCAAATTTATTAAATATCCAATATTTTATGAATCGACACGTCATCAACAAATTATCATCTAACATGAGCAATAAATTTTTCAGATTAAAATTCAGGTTCATTAATAACCTCGATTTTAGTAAGTTTATAATCAAGCTGATTGTCTCGACAAGACAAACCTGATATCAAAATTGGTTTGATCAAACTCCTATTAAGCTAAGATCAAAGCCATTAATGTACTTTTGGAGGTTTTAGATTGTCAATTGAATAATCAAATGAACTCTAATTTTGATGTATTTTTATTCAAATTAAGTGTTTTGAAGAGAGGAATCCGAAGAGCCAAAGCTTGCTTAATTTCGAGGACATTAAAGTTCTCAAATCATTAAAAAATTTCATATGATCAAGAGGGATTAATATGAGTCGTCTGAGCATGTGGTTGGAAAAGTTATTTGACAAATGACAAAATGACCTCCCCCTTAGCCTTATAAATAGAACCTCTCTCTACACTTGAGAGGGATGGGGGGACGCGAAGAAAAGAATTCCAGAGCCTATTCTAGACTAAAGATCTAATGAGAACTTCCAACCTACTTAGTTGCCAATCATCATCGACCACAACCCACTAGCCACCCTCAACCATCATTTGTGGCCCTTGCTCATCGCCATTCTGTGACCCCTGTTTACTAACGTCATATCCCGAACATGATTGTAATGTATAATGTCGTATTGAAGAATTCACGATAACTTTGAGCCTTCATAGTCGCCAACTATCTTCGACTACTGTCGACCATCTATGCTTGCCATCGCTGATGACCCTTGCTTATGAACGTTATATCCCAAATATGATTACAACATGTAACATTTGTACTAAAAACCTCGCCAACCAACATCAGCACCTTTACTACCAACCACCATACATCAACAACCATTGCTTACAACCGTCATAGTATGACTACAACTTTTGTTTCTAACTACTGCATTGTTCTGTACGTTGTATACCGAGAAGTGCTGTTTTTGGTGTAAAATTGTACTCTTGTTATGAGAGAAAGGGTGCAATCACCAACTATGACATATACAACCAACTGATGATATTGCAGTATTCAACTATGACATATATGACCAACTACTATTATTACAACTTTCAACCATGACCCCTGTGGTTAACTACTGTTATTGCAGCCACTAACTACGATCTATGTGGCGAACTTCTACTGCCACAACTTCAAATTATGACATCTGTGGCCAACTTACGCTATTGTAGTCACCAAATATGACCATTGCAACCAACTGATGTTCTGCAACTTCCAACCATGATCTTTGTGGCCAAAAACTGCCTGTGCAATAACCAACTGCGATCTATGTGGCTAAATGTTATTGTTACAGCTTCCATCAACAACCTCTGTGGCAAACTGATACTATTGTAGTCACCAACTATGACTTTTGTGGCTAACTGACAATATTGCAACTTCCAACCATGACCTTTTTGGTAAACAATTACTTATGCAACAACCAATTACGATATATGTGCTATTATTATAACTTTCAACTACGGTCTCTGTGGTCAACTACCGCTATTGCAATAACGACTACGACCAATGTGAATGGCTACTACAATTACAACTTCCAACTATATATTATGTGACCAACTGACACTATTATAGTAACTAATTACGGTCTTTGTAGCCAACTGAATATATTGAGGCTTCCAACCGCGACCTTTGTGGGCCTAAAGATCGAAGGCCAGAACATTTAGAACCAACAAACTCACCCTAAAGACATAGTCGTATGCCAAAAAGATCACAACCTTTACAGAAGGATGCATCAATGATAAAAAAGAGAGAAATCGTTTCATCTTTTTAGCTTCATGAGGTCTGAAAGACTCGATGGTTTTTTTGTCAGTGAAAAATAGCCTTGATTGATCGACGGGTGCCCTGTATCTGCTACACTATTCAAGATAATGCATTGGCTATTGGACTTGCAAAGAAAATCAAGATAAAACTTGGTTAACCTCTTGACGCTATAATGTCAAAGGCTAGCGTTATGGTCACAAGAGAAGACCACAATGTCGTGTTTCTAGTGATAGAGAACATGACATTGGACTATACGGTAAGGGCTAATGCGGTGACACATGAACAATTGTCACAAATTTAGCACCATGTTGAGATCGACATTATCACCAAATACTACAGATCTAACATCGTGGTGCTAAGAAGTAGCGTCAGAGCAAAATTGAGTGCTGCAAACTTAGTGCTGCAAACTAGCGTCAGAGCAAAATTGAGTGCTGCAAACTTGCACCATTGTGGAAGCAATGTTACACAACTATTGGCAAAGGGTAAAATGATGGCCACATACTGAGAAAATGGCATCAAACCATTATTCTAAACATAAAAAAAAAATCAACGCCATGGCATCCAAAGGAATAACATCACAATGCTAGGGCATGTCTAAGGCTCTCTGATGAAGCACTCAAAATGAGATGCAATAATATCGTGAAAATGAGGGGAACTTAACTTAGGTCTTCTTTAACAACAATATGACCTGGCTCCTTTAACAGAAAGCCTAAGGATTTTATAGAAAGGAAATCTTAAAGAGAAAGGATTTTCACCTCTACGATAGTTGAATGCGGCCAAAGCTTTAAATTCTAGTTGACTGCTTTAACAGCTCCAACAATCACCATGACTAGCAATGCCAGTGTCGAGAGGCTCCACCAAAAGGAGTAGAGGATGACGGGGAAGCAAGATAACCACAAGCTCTTGTAGATGGAAGATGAGGAAGTTGTCTGAATCTCCAACCAAAAAACCAATGGCTTCAAAAAGTTTAACAAGTCTGAACCAAATAAAAAAAGCCTTACCCTGGGGTAGCTTAAGACTGCTTCTTTTATAGGTAAAGAAAGGCGATGCAACACTGTGGCACCAGACATGACAGTGGGGTGCTGATGACATGGCAGATGCCACATCAACTGATGCGATAGTGTGCAAAATCAAAGCCTAACCCTAGGTAAATTGAGGCACCATGCAATTTGAGTATCTGGCTAGGACCATGCCACCCAACAAGAGCTGCTTCACCAATAGGGAAAGAAATGGTATGATCTAGTGTAGTTATCCATTACCACACCTTAGGAGCTGTACCAAAGAAAGGATGAGAATTCAGATGAGGATAATGATGAGTAGGAGGGAGGAGAGGTTTTTGTTTTTTGTTGGATGGTATATTTCTTTCATGATTTAATAGAAGTGGCGAGTTGATTAATTTGTAGTTGATGCACCTGTTCTACATTGTACTTGTAGCTTCTCTAGATTTATATTACAAAAATAATGTTGTGTCGACTTACACTCAGTATAGCATGTTATACATGGTTATTTATTTAGTAATGTGTTGTTTTGTTATCTTGCTGATGTGAAAAATGCCACATCAACAGGCCCATAACAACTATCTGATCAGGAGTCGCTATCAAGGCTTGAATTGCAGAGCAATGGAACACTGGAAAGAAAGCTGTGTTGCTGCAACTCTAGACATGGAGTTGTGGCATTGTTGAAGTGTCTAATTCCACATCAACACTTGTAATGATGTCCGTTTGATTATAGACAACATGATTTAAAAATATCAGGGCGCCGAGCCATTAGACCTTGCACCACAATGCCGATGTGGCAAATGCCACTAAGTACAACAGGAGATCCAACCAAGCCACAAAAAATAGATTTTTAGCATCGCGGTGCTCTGGATAACTTCGAGACAAATAATGATCTTATTGTTGGAGTTAGCATAAAATTGAATACCATGGAACTCTTTAGTAATTTTTAGAGAATTTATAGATATCTTTAGCTCAAGCACATCAATACACCAAGGCTTATATTTTTTATTGAGATGAAGGAGTCTATTAAGGGAATTAGGATGAGCAATCTCCCTAATATTCCAACAAATAAAATTAATCATGTCAAAAATTTTTTGCTTTCCCACTAGTAAACCTAGAGGGAGACTCCCAAAATTTGTGAAGTACCACCAACAACTATAAAGTTATCATCTTGCAAGTTCTTGAGCTCCAAATTGCCTTTCTTTTT